GAACTGCGTATTGAACGAACAGCTAATAAATCTTATCAACGACTATGACTAAACCTTACACTCAATTTAATAAATAAGACTAGAAATAACCATAATCTTTTCTACGTTTCCAGTAACCACCGGCTACGAGTCTGACCGCGAGGAGTGGAAGACGAGTCGCTCTCAATTCTCCACAACAGCATTTGACAGTCTGGCGCGCCCCACTAAGATAGCCATGGCTCTGACCCTCAAAAAACCCCAAAGGATCGACCCGATGCCCCAATACTATCGCCTCCCGAGCGAATCGAAACTGGCCCCAATCTCCTTCAGGCCAAACAACTTCCTTCAACGACCACCCAGGCTTCCACGGCCTAACCCAGAACTAAAAAGAAACTTCCTAAGCACGGACCATAGGAAGTTCACGTCACTCCAGAGTTTAGAGATACCGAAGAAGCTGAGCGAGCCAAAGAGGCAGATCGACGTCAAGAAGACGAACTATTCGAATATATCCCACAGGATAACGGGACTGACGAACAAGCTCAGGGATCTAGGGAACCCTAGCAACACGATAGGGAGGTTTAAGGCGCAATCGCACGGTGATGTTGCCAATTTGAAACCTGTGCTGAAGACGAACCCACAGGACGGGACAAAACGCTCCGTCGTGAGGACTTGCAGTGCTGAACCACCAAAAAAAGTCACGTTTAGCGCTTTCGCCACTGTACAAGTTGTTTAGTATATTGATGATGTAGTCATAGTCACGACGTTGTTTGTTAAACTATTCAATATCAAATGTAATCGTGATGGCTTGTAGAAACTAATAAATACGATTATCGGAAACAAACTCTAGTAAAATTTTTCTACCGCACAAAAATCATCAGGATGATGACTGATCTTGTATACTTGGATCCTTATGTTAGATGTTAGGAAATGGAATCTTTTAAAACACTATTTTCGATTTAATACTAAGATAAGCAGAATTGTCACTAACATTTAATTTAAGAAGTCCAAAATTTCCACGACTGAATGAAAAGTGAAATTGTATGTATCGTTAGTGACGTATTTGATTGAATTAGTTATAGTGAAAAGTCGGGAAAACAGGCCGGGAATTCTGTGTAAATAATCGCTTAAAATTTACGATTGTCTTAATTCAGTGTATATACAAGCAAATCGTATTAGATTGTCTTTATTTTATTATTGTTTTTCTATTGTATAATAAAATGATAGCACATTATTTTGCACGGTTGTACATAATCTCATTCTGATACACTATATAAAACTAGAGTAAGGTATTTTTCACGCTACGATTTCAGTGCATTTTTCTGTTTCATTAAAATATTATTTGTCTTTAAATTTTATGAAGGTAACATTAGATGAGGAGTCAACCGACTCATCTCATTGTGAACACATCTAGGGGCGATGTATTACTTAATAAAATTTTAAATGTTTTCTAAAATCATTTTAGCGAGGCACTAAATAATTCTAATAGAACACTTGATTATGCAAATTTGTGACCACCTAAGAACGTGGGCTGGTATTTTATATCTCAATGTAATTTCGCTTCAATGAATTGCACATTATGCCAATAAATATAATTTTGATTCACGTATCTACATCACATGGAAGCAAAATCTTTGATCGAGTTTACAAATCAAAATGACCATTTCTATTATTTTTGATTCTGATCTGACAGTTGGAACTGATTCTCTTGCGAATGTTCTGTGTACCAGTGGCGATAGAGGTGAATGAAACTATACCAGGGGTATAGGGGGCCTACCGCCTATGGGTATAATTATGGCTATAACAAAGCTTATTACTCACTATTAAACTCATGCGTAAGGCATTTAAAAACCTTTGGTGATCAAAATCAAATCATAAGCTATATCTATAGTTATATGCATAGCAATCCCGACAGGTGGTAGTGATGGCGGTATCAGCGGTGACGGAGGCCCTTACAGGAAACCCCAACATTTTCTGCGGTAACATAAACTGGATTAACATTAGCAGTCATAATTTAATGTTCGTCACAAAGCTTCAACTTAACATCAAGATTGTAAAGAATTTGGATGACTTTTAAAGTTGTTTCAATATTTAATAAAGCAAACTACATTAATTGTGAATTAAAATTTTGTCAACAGCGAAGTAAATTAAGTTAGCTATTCGTTTCATTGTATAAATACATCGGCTTCAAAAAGTTTAAATCGCAGTTGGTTATCCGAAAAAGCGACCGAATTTTATTTTTACTAACACACTGGTACAGGGTACAGGGTATAAATTTACTGACATTCTGGGTGAAATTGTGAAATGCCACCAATCTTTGTGGGAGATTGCTGTCGGTCAGTTTCAGATGAAGAAAACAAGTGAAAAAGCAAACAATCTAAATAGGTAATAAACAAACGATAATATTTTTTTGTTAAATTAAAAAATGGAACAGTAATATTAAAAACGTTTTTGTTAACGATAGGTAGGTATTTAGTTGCGAGTATGTCGATTTATGAATACTTATATGTCTAAAAGTTTTCTAGTCGACTAAAACCTTTTGTGTATTCTTTAGACTGCTCCTCATAGTAATTTATGTTTAATAAAATTATCATAATTTTGTAACACATTCTTATCATTATATTCTTTGCAATACTGACAGAGTATTTGATTATTCTTTATTATACTATTATTTTAAGTGCTAACTAGATATTTTGTGAATGTTTATATAGTAGTCTTAGATGTCAAATTAATTTAATACCTCATTATGTCACATGTTGTCTCATTTTCTTATTATAGTAGAGAAAGTGACAGCTTCAACTTTAGCCAAACTTAAAAATAATTGACTTCTCTTAGTGCGAGTATGTACCGTGAGCTTTTGACTTGTTGAAAATGGGGCGCTGCGACTGAAAACTTAATTATAGAGTGAATTTTAAATGGCTAATCGAAATTCATCCAATACAATGTTTTATTAGTTATTTTTTATATTTTACTGTATTAATAACTGTAAATATTTTTTAATTTGTTATTGATGTGTGCTTTAAACCTTATTCTTCATTTATCATTTTTCATGATTCCATTCTTATAAAAATGTGTAGTGATTTTATTGACTTAAATACTTAATATATTTTTTACTAATTTTATTAACTTATACGCTTGACAAGCTTAGATTTTTAGGAGAGCAGTCATTATAAGTAGTTTAGGTTTTGAACATCTGTATTTCTATATACTATATATATTGTTTTAATTTTATCTTTGAATATAATAAGTTTTTCTGTTTACTTAGATCGGTAAAAAAACCGTAAATATTTAAGCATGACTTAGTTCGACAGCATGTTTAAACTGCATCCCGCTTATTAATAAACAAGGAATTGGCTTAGACTAGTTACGCCGTGTTTTGTTCATGTCACTCAAATGTCATTTGTCATTCAATAGACAGAGACAAAACATAGAGTAGCTAATCCAAGCTTATTCTTCGTCTAGGAATAAAGGGGCAAAGTTTAATCCCTAAGTCGACCGTAAAGTTGTAATTTTTAAATTGAGTGTAAAATATTAAAATCTTTAGACATTATGATTATATTGTTTGAAAATTTACTCCATTGTTACATACATGTATTGTTTGATTTTAGTTGTTTGAAAAATAATAAAATGTTTGTTAATATAATGATATCGTTTTTATTTCAATTGATTTTCAAAGCTTAGTCCAACCAGCCTAGAAATGGTAGCAAAAACATTTCTTTCACACCCCACCCATATAAATGCTCTATGGCAAAATATATGTAGAAAACAAAATAGTACAGTGTTTAAACTTTGCTGACTGTACTTTTAAGTTGATAGAAATTCGGGACAAACCGAGAATTTAAAACGGATGTAGGGCGAATTTTTTTTTAAAATGTGAATAAAATACTGGGACGAACGAATTAGAAATCGTTTTGGATTGACTTCAGGTGAAGTGGTTGGAGTCAGATGACCTGAAAATTATGTCAAGCCTCGGCATAGTCTTTTTGAACATTACTGAAAGTGTACTTAAAGGTCAGACCACCAACTTTATCGACTAAGTATTGAGATGTAAACACCTACCCTTGAGAAAAGTCCAACTATAAATAAATTTAATGAATAATAAGTACCCAAATATTTATAAAATAGGTGATTTCCATATCTAACTATGTTATCGTTGATCTTCGACCTTTCCATGCTGCTAACATCAGACATAATATTGTAGGGAGATAAGTTAAATAAATCTTATTTTCATTTTTTTTAAAGAGTTATTTATTTTTGGTCGGCGAAACAATAAAACTACCCATTTTTGTTTCTTAGGTTTTCACGCACATCACTCATTAAATAAAACTAGTTTTAACGGATTAATGCACGAACTTTATTTATTTCTTGACGTGTCGAAGTCTTTTCAGGTCTGCATCGTCAGAATAATGATTTTTCAAAATAAAAAATAATCCACAGCCACATCTCCCCATTCCATTCATAGGGAAGGCCTGTGCCCCAGCAGTGGGGACATTAATTGGCTGATGATGATAAGCCAGCCGACGGGACTCGAACCCTACCCTCTGATATCTGATCTGAATGCAGTGATCAATGATGCATATACATTTGAAAGAAGAAAAAGCTATTGTAGTTTATTACATTTTTTAACATTTAACTGCTAGACAAATAAAACTAGTTTTAACGGGTTAGGTTAGGTAAGGTTAGGTAATAATGATTTTTTATCATTATCTTGACGATGCAGACCTGAAAAGGCTGCGAAACGTCAATAAATTAATAAATTTCGTGCATTAAGCCGTTTAAGTTATATCTACCTCGGACAACAAGTATCGTTCTCTAAGGCAAGACACGAAGATGAGGTTAAAAGACGAATTAACATGACGTGGAATAAATTTTGGAGCAATAAAGAAACCCTAAAATCTAAACTCCCAATTAAACTTAAGAAAAAAATAATGGACTCATGCTTACTACCCTGTCTTACATATGGCTGCCAAACATGGATATACAATAAAAACACCAAAAATAACATACAAGTATGCCAGAGAGCGATGGAGAGACTGAACATACAACGAAAACATAGAAAAAGAAACACAGAAATAAGAAAAACTACAAAAATAATAGATGCTTTGGAACATTCTCTAAAACTAAAATGGAAATGGGCAGGTCACATTGCACGAATGGATAGGGAAAAATGGACACACAAAGTGACTACTTGGCAGGGACCTACAAATAAAAGGCAAAGAGGTAGACCGAGAGAAAAGTGGGTTAATGAAGTAATAAGAAAGGCTGGTGAAAATTGGACTACAAAAGCAAAGGACAGACAGACGTGGAGCAAAATGGAGAAGGCCTTTACTCGTTGAGGGGTCCATAATGACATGCAATTATTAATTACTTTGACATTCAATTATCATTTAGAATTTGAATTTTATTATTATTACTTGACAATTGTATGAAATGAAAATTTTAAAATGCTTATTGTAATCTAATTTATAGTATTAATTGTTGTAATATTTTATTATTTCATGCATGTACTTATGAATAATTTTATATTTATTACTTGTTCATTATGGAAATAAAGAGGCTATATTTTTTTTTAACCCGTTAAAACTAGTTTTATTTAATGAGTGATGTGCGTGAAAACCTAAGAAACAAATTAACTGCTAGATGTTTAAATCAATAAATAAATGATTTTCTTTACTAGAAAATTCCACACGGTTCAGGCAGCAGACGGGACTTGAAATCCACGCACACTGCAGTATCTACTTATTTTTGTAGTAAAAATTTCTTTAGATTTAAACATGTAGCAGTTCAATGTTAAAAAAATATAATAAAATAAAAAATTGGATTGTCTCATTTGTTTTTGGCTGATGTGTAGGTACACAAAAAATATAATAAAATAAAAAATTGGATTGTCTCATTTGTTTTTGGCTGATGTGTAGGTACACAAAAAATATAATAAAATAAAAAATTGGATTGTCTCATTTGTTTTTGGCTGATGTGTACCTACGTAGGTATAAACCAGTTAAGTTAAAATCAACACCGATTTATTATTTATCATTGACATTGTAGCAACAATGTTATTGTGATTATCGCCTTGTGTCGTCTACTTGGAGACTATAATAGCGCTCTGTGTTCAGTGTAGTTTCAGTTGACCACTGCGGCAGTTATACCACCAAAAGAAGGTAATGATTTTTCTCATTATAGTAATGGAGAGCGGGGCTGAAAGTGCCGACTTTATTAAATTGCTAGATAAATCGGATTACACGAAGACTGCGGTTAATAGTTCTAGGCAATCTTAGGTAAAATTTAAAGTAGATTTTCAATTGATAGCTGGTTTTTTGTGTTTTATAATAGTCTTTGACATATAATCATGTTAAACAGCGGTCGAAATGCACAACTGATACCTTGCTAAGCAAATTCTGTTTTTTAGATATTTGCCGTTCTCCCTACCTTTTTCATTGATTATCTCTATGCCCCTGACCATTTTATAGGTCTGGAGTATTAAGTAAATAGGTATGTAGATTGATAGGAAAATATTTATACACTCATACCTTGGCGACTATCATGAAGGAAGATCTTTGGTCAAAATGTGTTGTGTTCCGATTCCGGCGGTTCCCGGGACGGCTACGTGTCAAGCGCCTTGCGCATCGACTCCTGCGCATAGAACCAGATTATATTATAGAGCATATTATATATTACTAGCTGACCCAGCGAACTTCGTACCGCCATAAAAATAGGGGCAGGTGGTAGAAAAGCCGTGGTAGAATTCCTAACGGGGACCCCGCCGGTTATCACTAAGCAGTGTAGAAGGTATTCGCAGGACTTTTTTAGCAGATATTATGCTGTAAAGCACCCATAAGAGTTGCGGGGTCCTCGGTGGGTAGCCACTGGGGGGTCCGTAAGACTTGCGGGAGCCAGGTGTGAGGTCCGTTCAGCGGTGTGCCTCTTAATGGCGCCGTCGTCTGTAAATAGATTTTTTACCTGCGTTATAAAAAAAAAGGTGGTAGAAAAGAAAATTTAGGGATGTATGTATTTTTTAATACCACATTATAAAAAAATAAATATTGTCCAAAAAAATTTTTAGGGGTATATAACGTAGTGTTCTATCAATTTCCTGGGATAACATTCCTCCTAACCCATATGAGAACACTACGTTACAATACTCAATAGTTTGAATTTAGGCGGGAAGGCGCATTGTAGGTTTCAGAATACTACGTTACAGGTGGACAACCATTAGTAGCCGAACCTCAGACCCACGGAATATGCATATAAAATTTCACAAAAATCGGTCAGGCAGTTTCGGAGTATGGTAACTAACATGGTGACACGAGAATTTTATATATAAAATTAATCGAAAAATGTAGAGTCGTGATTGGTTATTATAATTTAACAAAAATGTTAAATCATGATTTTGAAGATTCCTTGTAAAGTGCGACACTGTTAAACCAAATTTATTCAAATAAGCGGATATAATACAACTACTTTTTCCAGTGTTTTCCCACACACGTCGCTGACTTTACATATAGTGATTCAAATCATAATTTTATTTACTAACATTTAATGTTTTACTTATATCTATATATTATGTTAGACTATAGATTATTTTTGACGACCTCCATGGCCTAGTGGTTTGTACACCGGGTTTTAAGGTGTCGCCTACTCGAGAGGTCCCGGGTTCGAATCCCGGTGGGGGGCAGATATTTGTCTGATGAATACGAGGATTTGTACTCCAGTCATGGATATTAATATGTATTTCTATATAAATATACTTATATATCTACATCCCATAACACAAGCCTGTAGTGCTTACTTTGGGGCTAGACTAATTGGTGTTTGAAATATTTATTATTTATAAGATATGAGTTTATCTATGGGCCTACGTTTTCTGATTATAAGTAAATCAAATACCAATTAACCTAGCCCCAAAGTAAGCATTGTGAGGCTTGTGTTATGGGATATACTAGGGTAATAGGTAGAATACATATACTGATACATCTTATATATTTATTTATGTAAACAAACATCCATGACTTAGGTACAAATACTCGTACTCATCATACTAGCATTTGCCCTACCGGGATTCGAACCCGGGACCTCTGAGTAGGAGACACCCTGACACCCGGCGTACGTACCATTTGAGCCACGGAAGTCGTCCACGTCGCAACCAGGGTGTCGATTCTGTTGAGTTAAAAAAAAAGAATCCTTAGATATTTGTTTATTGTTTCAGTAACTAAAATTACATTTTTGTCACTTTACGTTACTAAAAGGAAAAATCACAAACGCATTTGCCTACTTATTTGTTATTGTTGGGTACGCGATCTTGGAAGTTAAGCAGCTTTCGTAATGGCCGATCAGCGGATGGGTGACCAAAAACTTAGTATCTCGAGCTTCTCCGTGCTTCGGAAGGCACGTTACGCCGTTGGTCCCGGCTGCATCTGCAATCTTTAGCACCCACCAATTTACAGTGGGCCCGTGAGGTTGATCATGGCCCAATCCACTTACAAAATCCATAGGAAAAGCCTGTACCCCAGCAGGGAGGATATTAATAGGCTGGTTATGATGATGATGAATATCTATTATTATCTTTCTTCTTAATTTGGTCGCGTTTATTGACCAAGGGTACAGCGGAAAAAAAATCCTCATTACTTTTGGGTCAGCCAAGGGTACACAGGAAAATAAGTTTATTATTTTTTCCCTTCCTTCACAGCCATAATGTCGTTAGTAGCACAAGCGTTTCAAGCCAGCAAAATTGTCCCCGATGTCATTCCTACAGCTCCTGAAGCGACCATAGAAGTAAGTACCTACATTTAGTTGTTCATAGTTCATTAAACAAGTACAAAATTATAGTTCTAATTTCCACCACCCGCACGTGGCGCCATTTGGAAATGCGCGCCATTTTCTTATAAAAAAGTTTTCTATAGGTACCTACTTTTTTCTTGCAAATGTGTTTTTTTTTCTTGCGAAAAACGTGGTATGACATTCGTGCGAAATTGGTATTTACAAATTTGTATCTATGGTAAGTCTACTCGTTTGTAATAACCAACTTTCCGCACTAATATAACATCATATTATTTATAATACCTCCACTTTGTATTTGCTCCATGTTGGAAACAACTGCCAAAAGGCAGAGGAAAGCTGCAGTCAGACCCGTCTTTCCCAGTGGGCACTTTGGGCAAGTGCCCAGGGCCCCGCGATCGATAGGGGGCCCCCTCAGATCAAATACAAAGTCCCTAGTTCCTGTTAAATCACCAAACGTCATAGGGGCCCCATTATCCTAATATGCTCAGGGCCTCCAATAGGTCAAAGACGGCACTGGCTGTAGTAAGATATGTATCTCATCTTGGTAGTGTTATGTAAAAGCAGATTCATGTGCTTATAGCTCAAGTATCCCAGCGGTGCGGTGGCTTCCCAGGGCAACGAGCTGACTCCCACTCAAGTGAAGAATCAGCCGAGCGTATCCTATAAGGCGGACCCTGCCGCGTACTACACGCTCGTATTCACAGGTATGTAACACACATTATACCGAAAATATGCAAGAATTAAAGTACAAAATTGTACAAAAAAATAAATACTAACGAATTGAGAACCTCCTCCATTTTTAAGTTTGACTTTAAGTTAAAAAAAGTATAAATTTGTCCGTAGCATTATTTGGCCTAATACTTTTTGTCACTAGTATTAGTATGTCCTGTTTTCGAAGAACAGTATCTTATGCTTATAGCTATTATGAGTAACTGCTATTTTTGGGTGGCGGTTGCGTTATCAATCATGTAAATTTTTAATTTAAATGAATTTTTAGGCTGAAATTAAATGAATTGCTTCTATTTATTTTTTGCTTGCTGATTTATTTAATGTTTTTTGCTGTTTTGATTGACTTTTATTTATTTTATTTTTTATTACTTGAAAGCAAAGGATGCTAAGTCCATACATCCTTTCAAGTAATAAAACAGTACAGGCTCTGCCAGAATAACAGCGCTGGTGCGACACAATGTCGCATCTATGCCCTATGTTTTTTGAATTTGTATCTGTAAATGTGTAATATCTGTAACATGAGGGTTAATAAAATATATTCTATTCTATAAAAAAGATCATATTATGGGTTGATATCAGATTGTCTAGTCGCAGTGAGATTAACCCCTATTAATGGCTTTATCGCATAATGACTACAAATTATTTCGTCTAGATCTTTAATTGACTACATCGCATAATGCCTAAGATCGCAAAATTACTAGATCTTTAATTGATCTCATGAAATAATAACTAGATCATTGGTTCTCCTCTACCTCTAATTTTAAGTGGGTTACCGCACGCCAAGCGGATATTCCAAACTTACCATCAGCCTTATTAATGTTTCTACTCTTGGGGCGCAATCTAGAAGGTATGGGGCGAACGAACCCCACATGCGGGCCCAGCGAATTATTGAAACTTCTGCAGGTGCAGCCATTATTCTGTTTTTCGAAGTTCGAAGGGGCTCAAAATAAACCATTTTAAAAACGGTCATTTCTTAAGTTTCTCTAGCCACTGTGCTATCCAGCCTACCTATTCGCATTTTTTTGCCATTTCCAGTGTGTAACTAAAGAGAAAATTGCATATCCGTCGATGCTTCCCAGAAAAAGTATCTTAGTGTCGTTATGATAAAGCAGTAGTAGATCACTAAATAGCTCCGTGATTATCACATCTCTCTGTCAAAAGCAGTTAGCGAATAGGACTGCAGGTCCTCGTGAATTGATCCTCTTTTCTCTTACTTGCATATCTCGTATTCGCTTACGCGGGTAAACATTAGTAATACTTTCGCTATCCTGGCGGATGCGCTGACTATTATGCTACCGCGACCTTAATGGTCGTCTCTAACTTCTTCTAGTATTTCTTAGTGTACGGCCACAGTGCACGCAGGTTCAGAATCAGATTCAGACTCAGAAAACAAGCGCGAAAAATAAACAGTGTAGTTTAAGGAGGGTGGCCATAGTGGCAGCAGGCAACCTGCTTAAACTACACTGTTTATTTCTCGCGCTTGTTTTCGGAGTCTGAATTTGCGTGCACTGTGGCCGTACCCTTAGGCTGGAAAGCAGCCTGTCTGCTGCCTGGACGGCGTGGATTTTTTTCTAGCAAAATTTACGCAAAAGCGGTTGAATGCTTAAAAAATATAAATATAATACTATTACTAATTATTGCTCTTTAGATCCCGACAACTACAATACTACAGAGCCGGTGTACCGCGAGTGGCACCACTGGCTAGTGGGCAACATTCCCGGTAACAAGGTCTCCCAGGGCGAGGTGCTGTCCGGCTACATCGGTTCCGGCCCGCCAGAGGGCACTGGCATCCACAGATACGTCTTCATCCTGTACAAGCAGCCCGGCAAGATCAACTTCGATGGGACTAGGCTGACCAACAAGTAGGTTGAATTTATTGAATTATACATCTAACGCCTAGCTATACCTATTTATCTGATTTTTCTAGCCGTAATATAAGGTATAAGGTGCATGTAGGGTACAACTGGTTTGGTTGATTCCCAATAAGGTACCCATTCGTCACCGGCAAAAAGAGAGTACATTCCGGAGTTTGAGTAGGAGAGTCTTCCATCCCAAGCAACCATTGAGGGTTGCCTGAATGAGTGGGTCACATAATCTCGTCGCCTTACCCAGGTATGCGTGGTCAAAAAAAGGTACAACTTCGAGGAGCCGCTTGTGGCAGCACTGGCTGGTAGCCAACATTCCCGGAGACAAAGTACTGGTATCCCAGACGCCAGTTGTACCCAACAATTACGTTGTTTTTTTTACAAATGTAAAATGAATGATTTAGAAATTTTATAAGAAAATAGATTTAAAAAGTGTTGGGTCCGTATGTATGATGGTTAGCAACTATGCTGGCGATAGTCCCTTGTTCCTATCAGATCACCAAACGATAACCGATATTTATTACCAAAAAACTTATATGATTCGATGAAATCGAACCTAAATTACTGACTACAATACCAACTTACTAGCTTTTACATAAGTGAAGCTATTCTACTCTCGCCCAAAAATTAGGCTTTCCAACTTCAGCATGCTTAGATAATTTTAAATATACATGTAATGGTATATTAAGCACATACACATTTTAAAGAAAAATCATCAGTATGACTCGCTCCATTTCAAGTCATAATCAAATATCAAAGTCATAGGGCCCCCATTATCCTAATATGCCCAGGGCCTACAATTGGTTAAAGACGGCCCTGAACACGGGCACCCGTTGCTTACTTATATCTCCTCTACCCTGTGAAACACTGGAACCTTCCATGCTCACCAAAAGAAACACAATCTTATTTGAAGAGAAGGTTACTTCCCAACACCCGTTCAACACTCTAGTTCGAACGGAAATTCCGCCATGCTCTCCTATATTAAAGAAATCTATAAAAATTGTTGTTTGTTAGAGGTCTTCTATAAGGTGGAAATCATTTCCTATAACGCTTTGGCCATGACTCTCTTTTGGTATTCATAATACAATATTACATACAGTGATACAGTTCATTATATTTTATGGGCCTTATTTCAGATCCATTGACGGTCGTGCTGCTTTCTCTACGAAGAAATTTGCTGAGAAATACAACCTGGGTGCACCCGTTGCTGGGAATTTTTACCGCGCCCAATTCGACGACTACGTTCCACAGCTTTATAAAAGCTTGGGAGTTTGATACTATAACTGAAAAACACTATCAAAATAAATTATAAATCACGTTAATAGTTGGCATTGATCGAAATGTTTTATTTATATATTATCGTTAGTAATATTATTTATTGATGAAATTTTGTTAAAGCTTTCGTTTTTTGTAGCTTTTTTTAAATAATAAAAGTTAATTCAAACTGTGTTAAAAAATAAATATAAGTATGGATGAAGGTACAAACATTGACTTTTTTTCAACACTGAACTTAGCGCACTCTGCTGGTGCATTTGAAAACTAATTCACGTTCCAATTAAGCATCAGCATAATTGGGCATTGTGCGCCACTTGTGAGTCGGCGACTTGTGAGTCGCATTATGCTCTGTAATTGGAAAACTACCACTCTAGCTACATTTTCTTCAAATTCTTAAGAGAGAATTTTACCCAAAAAAATGAAAAATATCTTGTACGAGCTAACGCCTATAGTTCTGTCTGGTATGCATTAAGCCACGTTCCATAATTTAAGGTCATGCTTACATCAGTCTGCCATCGGTAATCATCCAAACCGCGCATCCTCATACCTATATTATCAATAAACATATGATTTTCATAAATTTATTTTGATACATATATATCATTTATTTTATAATAGGTCTTTCACTTCGTCAACTCTATCAGAAAAAGATGTTTAAACCGTACATATTTTTTGATCCTTCGAGCCGGATACAGTATTGTGGGTGAGATGTCATAATGTAGGATTCAATATCTTACCTTGTGCAACTAAAAATCTAGAAGATTTAAAAGCTGGTGGCTTATAAAGGCTCATATTAATTAGCAAATAAATTTGAAATAAATAAGGAAAATTCAAGGCGGAAATATAATTGTCTGTCGTGTTGTGTCGTGAGTCGTGACGCCTCAGTGAGCTATCATTTTCATACAGTTAGTACCTACGGTGAAAATTGTATTTGTGTGTCGACAGCGTACTCACTCTAACCGTAATAAATGTATGAAATCGATAGCTCTTTGACGCGTCATGACACAACACGAGAAAAAAATATATTTTCGGCTAATTATATACATATATATAAAATTGAATCATAAAATTGGTTATTCGCATCTGTTTTTTTCAATAATTCTGCGAACGAATGCCCTATAAATTCCTCCTTTCGTCCTTACTTCTATATAAATGTATAAATTATAATGTGTTATCATTACCCCATATTCGAGACATTTTCTTGTAGAAAGTTTCAGCAAATCAATAACACGTGGTGACTTTTAGCAGCGCCAGCGACTGGCCTGAACATGTTTAAAAAGATCCAGGGACGCTGGCAAGGGGCGCGGGGAATGCGAGGTGTGGGCACTATCACGAAAAGTAGACCTTCGTTCTACTCCATGCCAGCGCTGGCGCCAGCGCGACACTGGCGCAGAAAAATGTTTACATGAATCCAGTGCTGGCATGCCAGTGGGACTGGCGCCAGCTACTGTATCAATATAAATCTGGCTGAAGTTTTATGACATTTGTTCCTTTCGCTTTCTCAGAAAAGAAAGAGTATTAAAAAAAATGTATGTAGCACTGTGCTACCAAACTAAAATTTCTTCCCGATTTAAGGAAAAATTAAGTAGATGTAGTTTCTTAAGTGCTTAATTTGTTTTGTTAGTATATTATAGGCGTGTTTTGAATGCATTTCTCTGTCCCCTTTTTCCATATAAACCATAATTCATAGCGCAACTGATTACAGATCAAATCATCTAAGTCTGTGGCATTTCTTCAACTAACTTTACGTTGTGTTATATGCCGAAGCAGGGAGGAGTACAAGTACGGAGGAGTGTTGGAGTACAAGGCCTTACTTCTTCTTCTGTCTTCTTTTTAGGTGATAGGTAATGTGTATTGATCGGGCTTGTAATATTTTTTTTTTATATTTCTTTCGTTTTATTGATAATCATAAAATTCTGTCAGTTTGTTATAACTTGATATTAAATATCTCCTGTAAATCATTGCAGACTCTTTTCCTTACTGTAAGTTGATGCAATGATTTTTCTTTTATTATAATAATTAACTGAAACTTGTATTCAATTGGCGAATAATTCCTTTTCTATATTTAATTGTTTTGATATTCTTTTATATTTATAAACATCAACATTTTTTTTTTCGTGTGTTATTCTGTTAAATCCCAAAATAAAAGGAATTGGCTTTGTTATCATAATGATTTCTGTAAGTAACTTTAAAATAGTTTTGCTAGTTATAATTTTTATTTTTTAAGCATGTAACTGCTTGATGTTTATATCTAAAGAAAATATTACAAGAAAAAATTCCACGCGGACCAAGCAGCAGACGGGACTCTAACCCGCACCCTTCACTATCCGGGCGAATGCACTGACCAATTATGCTACCGCGGCCCTGACGGCCGCGTCGAAATTCTTCTAGCCATTCTTAAGCTGCAAGGCAGCGCCATCTCTTCGCATTGTAGGTAACCCACAATGTCAAATGAATACTTTTACTAGTATTAAACATTTGAAAGAAGAAATAGCTGTTATAGTTATAACAGCAATCTTTAAAATATACGCTATTCCGGTCAAGTGGACGTGAAAACTTTATTGTAGTGTTGACTATCTCACAGAAGCTAATCGAATTATTATTAGCTAATTGGTTTTTTCACGAAATGTCGTGCCAAACACTCCAAGAAACATTAGAATGCGTCACACCGATATTCTAATGTAAACAAGAAGATTAAGATTTGTATTTATGTATACGACTGAAAGACTTGTATCCATGGTCATGAATTATTAAAAAAAAAGACAGTTCTGAGCAGTGTGACCATATGTGGCAGGATTCTGCCTTTTCGGCAGATTTAGCCCTTTATTTTACTCTGTGGCATATTTGTTTGACGTTTTAGAAATCTGGCAGTATTTGGCAGTTAATAGCAATTTAAGCTTTTTTTATTTATTTAAATGAGTACAGTAGATAGGAATTTTAAAATGCCAATGACAACATTGGCTACGATACCTTTGTTTCGGGGATTTCCCATATCATATTCGAATCTCTAGTCGAATTTGTAGTGCATTCCATTGTAAACCTTAAAGTGCGGGAGCATAATGTTTATATTACCTTTATTTTTATTTGTCAGTTGTTAATGCAATTAGTCGGACTAGAAAAACTGTCGGAGACATAATTTTGTTTTGTTTCTGATTTCGTGTGGTATATGTGAATTGTTACCGTAATACCATGAAACGTTAATATGAATGATTATATCGCGTAGAGTGGGAGCATTATCCATTACTTTCGTTGTGGTTATCAAAAGCGAAAGATGAAGGTTTTGCATGGTGTAAAGCATGTAACACTAAGTTGGTGCCTAGGTTATCTATTATAAAAGAACATGCAACCACTACTAAACATACGAATGTGAATGTCATAAAAAGGACAGATCAGCGTTGTCGATCTATATTGGCATTATTCCGGAATTTTGTGCATCCAATTTTGGCAGGATTTGTCAGTTTTTTTGCCTAAGCAGGGCAGGATCTCTAATTTAAGGTTGGTCACACTGGTTCTGAGTTCTCAGTAATCTATAGTCTATGTTTGCAAATTTGAGGTTATGCTAAACCGCTCAGTTTATTGACCTATATTTATTTTGATAAATGTGAAACCAGTAGATTCGCTGCTAATAAAACAAAGAGTCAAAACTGAAATAACTGCGATGTCAACACTGTCTAGATTTCATAAAATAGTTATTATAAGCTTAGGAGCTGTCGGTGGTGGATTGGCGTATTATCAAATAAACAATAAAAATGGGAAGAAATATGGTGTGCATAACTCGTGGACAACAAATTACGCACCTAGTGTTAAATGGGACAGTAATTGGGACCAGTAAGTATTGATTAAACTAATTTATACAAGGTTTGCGAAATCATGGCCCCCCACTTTTATGAATATTTTTTTTTCAATTCGTATACATATAAAACTAAATTTGTACTATAACTATGTACCCGTTAAACTAGAGAACAATATTATCGTATTTAGTATAAATAATATCAATGATAACAACAGGCATTTTCCCAAGTAATTGTGTTGTAGTTTGTGTATCTAACAAAGCATGATTGTGTACTAAACAAACATGTGATAGATAAGACATTATTTTCTCATAACAAACAACTACTTGGAAAAATAGTTCATGTACCCATAAATTAACTAAAGTTAACACATTACACTATCATGTCAGTTTCTTATTGTATATATTTTAATAGTCAGTATTTTTTTACTTTTATGGCAACAGCACTTATTAAAAAAGCTTATTACAAAGTGTCTGTAATATAATTTACAGATGAAAATGCTTGGGTTTGAACTGTTCCAATCATACCAACAGGTTTTCTATATTAATTAAATCATGATTGTATTGACACTGTAACAACATAATGATTTTTAAATGTTACTTACTTAACATTATACTTTTAATGTTGTGGAGTTTTTCGCTCTTTTTTCTCCACAGCTAAAAAATATGTCCAATAACAAGTGGTAGGGAAAAACAAATTTGGACTATTCAAAAGAGTTGTTCTATACATCTAACTTGAATAAAGATTTATTGATTTCTGATGTTCACACGTAACAGTATACTTGTGTGAGTTTGTTACAAGAAATATATGCTGGACTTGTGCAAATATATCACTAAGTATGTGGCTGTCATTACAAAACTGATCTTTGATCCAAATGTCATTAACATTATTATGATAAAAAGAAAAAGTACTTTTAATTAGGTCTTGAATTTACTTGAGTGAAATCATTACCTACTGTTGTGTCTTTATTACTAAAAATAAAATAATTTTAAAAAATGTCCTCCTTTTTTGCATATTTGTTTGAAATTATTAAATTTGGGATTCATTTTAAATCTCTAGTAGAGAACCAGAAAGTATGACAAGGCCAAAGAGGTCAGCCAGTCCAGAAGATGAGAACAAATACAATGAGAAATTGGAAAAAGCCAAGAGCAAAGCTGTGCGACATTTGTTTCTCATTAGGCATGGACAATACAACTTAGATGGAGGAACTGACAAAGAAAGGATATTGACAGAATTGGGTGAGTACAGACAAAAATAATGTAGTACAGAATCCTGTAGTACAGAGTACAAGCATATTTTCCAAAGTGCAATTTTTTTATTAGTTACTGTTACCAAAATGGCCTACATTTTTATAGTCTTAATAAAAGTTTTAATAACTAAATGAAGTATATTTGTGTCTTAAGTATTTACGCACACCATTCATTAAATAAAAAGAATTTCAACATCTTAATTAAGAGGATGCAGTCTGAAAAGGATGCGAAACGTCATAAATAAATAAATCAGTGCATCTATACTGTTGAAACTTGTTTTATTAAATGATTTATCCAAATGTTCACTAAAAGTCTTTCAAAGGTAGCTCATCAAAAGTAATTAACAATTATACTGTTGGTAAACATAGAGTTAGGTAAAAAAATGTTAAAAACGCATTTTAAACCTGTTGAACAGAAGTTTTATTTTATGAGTGGTGTGAGTGAAAAAAGAAGAATTAAATTTGTCTTCAAAAAATTTTTAGTTGAAGTATGTCATATTATTTTACTGAAATAGGATAAGCCCCTAGGAATCCACTATTCCCTATTTCAAACTCAGTTTGCAAATGAGCTGGCAATTTATTGTATATCTAAGTGTCCAAGTGACATTAAAATTGATGCAATTTTCAGGCAGGCAGCAAGCTGACTTAACAGGTCAGAGACTGGCATGTCTAGACATCAAATGGGACTTAATAGTGAGATCCACAATGACACGTGCCCAAGAGACTGCTAAATTAATTGCTAAGCATTTAGATAAAGATATAGAGGTGAAAGACTGTCAAATGCTTGAGGAAGGTGCACCGATTCCACCTGAACCACCTACTGGCCATTGGAGGCCAGAACCAAGAGTAAGTATTAAATTTAAAGTAAATCTTCCGCTGTCCTCTCTCTTTTAGGCTAATTATTCAATACCTTGATAATACATATTAATGTCACAGGCTGAAACACAAATGTAGGTTTCTTATGTGTATTTGAGGAGATGCTAATCTTGGCATGTTTTAGTTTTGTAAATTACTACAATATAGGTACAAATTTATCATCAATACATTGTATCTCAATGATTGGACACAAGCAGTCCATATTAGTAGAAGCTTATTGGGAAAACAAAAAAACTCTACAAGCCTCGTAACACTATAAAAAAAATAGTTTGATATTTTTTATAATATTAGAGCCATAATGCAAAGTTAATTAGGTCACCGGTTCGATTGTATTTCCCTGTATGCTTAATCACCAAAAAGATTTCCATTTTGCCGCACTGCTCATTCATGCCATTAATCTTAATTTCATCTTTATAGTTAATAAAATTTTATCTTTGAATCCTGTTTAGCTGTATTTGGAAAAACATTTAAAGCAACTCTGAATTGTCTATAGCAATTTTAGATTATTTAAGACTACTACTTCTAAATAATGTATATAGTTATGGACTTTAGTTGGTCCATAAATTTCTTTTCTAAAATATACTTATTAGGCTATTTGACAGTATGGAAAATCAAGTACCAATGTTGTTTGGTACCAAACCAAGTTGGCATTGGTATTAAAATAAATATAAGCAGAAATTTTACTATTTTAAAAAAACATAATATACATGATGGTCCAATTAGTGACGTCAACAATTTTTTTTTAGATTCCTCGCAGCTAAAATACCCTTAAATACCCTATATATGTATGTTCCGCGATTTTTCTTAGTTTTCGAGTTGTAATTTTTTTCTGTATTTTTAATGATTTCTGCCAGCGAGGTTTCAAAAATTCAGATCTTTTTTCGTAGTAGGTATTTTGCAGTCTTTTTTTTGTGACATAATTGTCTTGAATGTTGTTTTAATAAAAAAAATAACTCAGCTTTCTGAAATTACTAAAAGTTACTCAAAAAAGTTGGAATTTTAATTTTTAGTAGGATAGGACTTTTCTAAAAAAACATTAAATAGAAATGATGTTTTTGTTTTTTGGTCACGTGACCAAAAACGCCTAGGATTGGCGAAGATTTAAATGACGTCACACTCTAAAAAAATTTCGTCAAAATTACATTACATTGTATCATTTGATCATTTGATGATTAAATGAAAGTAGTTTGACGGCACGTACTAGTGAGACACCATAGTCCAGACAAACGTTTTCCCGGCAACTTGATAATTGGACGTAGTTACGCGAAAACGTTCCAACCCACAGCGACCCCATTTTGAGATAAACGCAATTTTGTGTTTTAGCGGTACACTTTTTCCCTGTAATTATTTCAGGCAAATACTATTGGTGTTACTGTGGAATGCCAAACTGGTTATTGAATGATATGCATATTTTTTGTAAATACATAATACAAGGGGCATATAAATAGGTAAAACGAGTTTGAAACGTTTTCGCTAAATTTAATTTTGTATGAACCTTGTTAAATAGCAATTGTGCATAAACGTTCCAGAACGAATTTAAGTGTATTATTTTATAAATATATCTAAAATAAATATGTAAAATAATAAATAACAATGAAGAACATACAAAAACAACAAAAAAAAATTGAAAATGTATTACAAAAAAAATAGAACGTGATCTTTTGAGCTTAGAACCTATGCCAATTTGCTGATATGGTTCCAAAAGTTATCAAAAACTTATATTATAAACATTCAATTTTCATCATCGTATTCTATGATCTCGAAGTCCGGAACTCCACCAAACCCATCAACATCATCAGTGCTTCTTCAGAACTTTGAAGCGTTCTATAAAATTGAAGGCAATCCACTTCCTGTGCACCTCTTCTACCTCTCCTTCTACCAATACATAACAATGCCCAGTATCATTAAATGCACTATGGATACCACTATTGTAGAACTAAGTAAAAAAGTTAAACCTCTTCAAGTTTACAAAATGACAAAGACTGATTTTTTTAGTACAACTAAACTGGAAAAGAAGATTATCAATAGGAAGAAGTTTACAGACTCATCTAAAGTTAGTTGGCTACATACAAAAGAAATTAAGTTGGATAAAGATAAAATGTTTTCTATTTTTATGCGGTCTACGATGGAAGACGATTTCAATGAGTTGAAAATTGATAAAAGAATAAAACGAGAACTGCAATACATAAAAGAATCTGATTTTTGCTTATTGTGGCCTAACGACAAACCGATTGCTCCAGCGAAATTAGTGGACTTACAATCCATGTACCACTACATACCCGAGGATTGCCTTCAATTTTATAGAACGCTTCAAAGTTCTGAAGAAGCACTGATGATGTTGATGGGTTTGGTGGAGTTCCGGACTTCGAGATCATAGAATACGATGATGAAAATTGAATGTTTATAATATAAGTTTTTGATAACTTTTGGAACCATATCAACAAATTTTTGGCATAGGTTCTAAGCTCAAAAGATCACGTTCTATTTTTTTGTAATACATTTTCAAATATATTTTTTTGTTGTTTTTGTATGTTCCTCATTGTTATTTATTATTTTACATATTTCTTTTTGGTTTATTTTTATAAAATAATACACTTAAATTCGTTTTGGAAAGTTTATGCATAATTGCTATTTAACAAGGTTCATACAAAATTAATTTAGCAAAAACATTTCAAACTCGTTTTACCTATTTATATGCCCCTTGTATTATGTATTTACAAAAAATATGCATATCATTCAATAATCAGTTTGGCATTCCATAGTTAAACCAATAGTATTTGCCTGAAATAATTACAGGGAAAAAGTGTGTAAATTGCAAATTGGGGTTGCTGTGGGTTGGAACATTTTCGCGTTACTACGTCCAAATATATGGTATATTTTAGTTATTAATTTTGGTAAAAAATATCTTTTTCTCTAGAACATATTTAATAGCAAAAATGGATCAAGTATATGTGGATTGTTTATAGCAAAAAATATGAAAATAATATATTATAATAAAAGGTTTCAATTTATTTAGAACAGTGTTCGCAGCTTAAAAAAACAGTATGGATTAATCTAAAGGGTTTCAAATTACATGGAACATTTTTGCAGAAATAAAAAATGTATAAAGCTTTGCAAAAACGTTCCAACCCACATGGATCATTTAAGAAACCATTAAATGTGCGTTTTATGAATTTAGTATAATGTTCCAAGACAAGTGGAACATTATAACGATATGTTATTCTATTAAGAGTTTTTAACAATATGTTTCAGTATGCATGTAATGTTTTTACTTTATTTTGAGTACACGTCCTTGGCATAATGGTGGGTTGGAACATTTGGGTTAAACTTTATTGATGAAACTAACTTAAAAATACTAGCATCTTTGTGTGCACATGATGTAATATGGCAAAAATAGTACCCTGGTTATGGTAACTCATTTTCGAGTGACTTGTGGGTTGGAACGTTTTCGCGTAACTACGTCCAATTGAATTTGTGATTTCGTTTTCTTACTGAAATACTAAATAGAATAATGAATTTCCAGTATACAACGGAAGATTGTTTTCACATACTTGTCAAATATCCTAATAGGTAAGGCGACAAACTGATCTAATAGCATTTATAATTTACACATAACAAAATAAACATTAGAAACAGTGAAAGTTGAAACCAATTATTTAATACATATTTCTAAAGAACTACACCACCGCCTTTGAAACACAAAAGAGTTTCTCTTCCAACACCAATGAGTTCTCTGACTCGCCAGTTTTTCCTATTCCTAATTTGCCACCATGGAGGTCCCATAAGCTGCCGACCTATTTGCTATTTTTTGACATTTAGATCCTGTCTAACTAAAAAGCAAAATGAATATCCATCAATGCTTTTCAAAACAATTTAACAACCTAAAGAAAATATAACTAGAAAAAAATCCACGCGGACCAGGAGCTCTATTTTTGAATCACTCGTCTTGCGTCGAACGCTCGAGTGCAACGAATGGGTGAAACCACTCGCTGCATGGCGAATGGTGGAGGCGAATGATAGAATAATTGTCAATTCTTTTGTGCTATTAGACGACGATAATCTATCATTGTCATGCTTTATATGAAACGACAAAGAGTACCGGTAATTACCGGTTTTTATTATTTCTGCGTGAAATGAGTAAAATTTCGTATTTCGTATCAAACAGGTAACACTGGTGACGAGTGATTAAAAAATACGGAAAATCAGTATTGTGCGACTTGAAAGTCGAAGGTGACTTATGTCGCATTCGACGATACTATGTCAGACGAGTGATTCAAAAATAGAGCTCCAGGCAGCAGACGGGACTCGAACCAGCACCCTTCGCCATTATAGGTAACCCACAATGTGAAGAGATGGCGCTGCCTTGCAGCTTAAGAATGGCTAGAAAATTTCAACGCGGTCCGTGAGGGCCGCGGTAGCATAATTGGTCAGTGCATTCGCCCGGATTGCGAAGGGTGCGGGTTCGAGACCCGTCTGCTGCCTGGTCCGCGTGGATTTCTTTCTAGTTATATTTTCTTTAGATTTAAACATCAAGCAGTTACATGCTTTAAAATAATAAAAATTATAACAATTTAACAATTTAAAATCAGTAAAAAGCTGGGTGGTTATTACTTCCAACTGTCAAAAACCTTTAGCGATTAGGCGAACAGTTCATCTACGGCGGATGGACAGTTCAAAAGCGAATTTGGGGAGCGGAGAAAAAAAATCTCCCCTTCCCAATTAGCTCCGATAAGCTGGTCAGTGCAGTAACGCGCCGGTTTGGTACGTCCAGCAGTTCTTCCAGGACGGAGCGCGGATCGAGGCCGCGTTCCGCCGCTACTTCCACAGGGCGCCCCCAGACCAAACCAAGGATAGCTACACGCTGCTCGTCTGCCACGCCAATGTCATCCGGTTTTTTGTTTGCAAGTGAGTTAAATACTAAATATACTATATAGAAATACTAACCTAGGTTATGGAAATTGTTACTAACATATATGAGACCATGTCTCGAAATAAAAGTATTTTATTTTTATTTATTATTTTTATAATATAGGTAGCGGCAAACTTCCTGAGCAGAACCACAGACAAATAAACTCGCGCGTAGACATTTTTTGGAGGAAAAGTTGCTACGGCGCAGGCTTCCTTGTCTATGGTCGTTGCTCAAGCACTTTGCCGGGGTGTTTACTAAAAAAAGTGTATAAAGTACTTATCGCCGCACTTTTCCCCCCTTATTAATAAACAAGGAATAAGCTGAGACTAGTTACGCCGTGTTTTATTTATGTCAGTCAAATGTTATTTGTCATTCAATGAGACAAAACATGGAGTAACTAATCCAAGCTTATTCTGCGTTTATTAATAACGGGGTTTGAGTTTGCTTGTTGATGTTGATGCTGTCACATTCTTTGCGATAACAATAAAATGATATAACACGTGACTTAATAATGCGCTGAATTGAATTAATGTCCCTGAGTACGGCTGTTTCATTTGGTCTGTTACTATTTAGAAGGTTTCTTGAAAAAGTATTATGACTTTATAATTCCGTAGCTCAGTGAGAATTTTTAGTAAAATTTACGTCATCAGTTGGCGCCACTGTGACAAGAGGTCTTTAGTATGAAGGTTTAAGCTCGAATTAATCGAACGAGCATATAAATTGATTCATAGACTAGACTAGTGGACCTTTCATCTCAGTGCTGCCAACTGGCGCCCGTCATTCCAGAAAAGCCTCATTACACATCACGATATCCTGACCCACGGAGCAATTATAAGGGACCCTCTGTAATTTTGTAGCACAGCTTTTTACTAATATAACACGCCATCTAGTGAAGACTAGCGGAACTTAAAGGTCACGACAGTTATATTTACAAAAAAACGCTTGCTTTTAGTTTCCCTACTATTAAATTGTTGATAATGGAGCTGTTGGCGTCCCATAATGTTATCCGTACTCCCCTTTAGTGGCTTCACTTGATTAGAGTCACGTACAATGTCTCTTTATAGCAATTTTGATAATGTTGTGTACGCATTAAGGGTTCTGTCTAGCTAGATTATACTTCAATTGTTATTTTCATGTTAGTATGACTGTTATTGTACCTAAAATAAATAAATAAATATATTTGCTCCATTGGCAGACCGCCTGCTTTTTTGCCCTCAGAGAAGGCAATTAACTTTTTAGTTCTAAGTTGATGCTGTCACTTGCGGTAGTGTCAAATCTAATCATATTTATTTTGTCTTTTCGATAACAATAGAATCAGACAACAAGTGATTTTATTATTATATTTAGAGTGGGTACGATTTTTATAAATTAAAATATTAGAAGAAATGACTAAACCATTTTCTCTCCCAGGGCACTCCAGTTCCCACCTGAAGGTTGGCTCCGGATATCCCTGAACCACGGCTCCATAACCTGGATCTCGATATTGCCTAACGGAAACGTTGTGCTCCGAGGACTAGGAGAGACTGGACATATGCAGCCCAAATACATAAGCAGCCGGTAAACAGGTGCCAATATATTAGATAAAGCTACAAAATAGTAGCTGTGCTATTAGAGACGTTGATATGTATACTAAGAATAAAGAAAAGAAAAAAATTGTTTCAAGAACTTTTAACAACAAAGTCACGTGATCTTTAACAGTTTCAGGTGTTTAATCAAATTCAAAACTGTATTTCTAAAACATGCAACCCAAATACATAAGCGGCTGGTAAACAGGTGCCAATATTAAAGCGTAAACCTACCAAATAGTAGCTATGCTAATAGTACAGAAGTTGGCATGCCTACAAAGAAATAAAAAAATGTGTTCAAAATCAAATAATACCCTAAAATGGTGTTGTATTTAGTTTATAAACATACAGATAAATTACATCAGCAGCTAGTTAACAGGTGCCAATTTATAAGATAAACCTACCAAATACTAACTGTGCTATTAGAAAAGTTGGTATAACTAAAAAATCTGTAAAGCCATATTGTCCTTTATTTTTTAATACTTTTGGATGTTTAATTAGATTTGCAACCGTATTTTAATTTATAAATATGCAACTCAAATTCTTCGCCAATCAGTAAACGTGTGCCAATATATAAAATAAACCTACCAAATAGTAGTTGTGCTATCAGCAGAGTTGATTTGAAAAAGATAAAAAAGGAAAAAATAATTCATGAACTATTAAGCGCACTCTACAAAGTCTGTCAAGTTATTAACATTAATGTTTTATCAGATTTAAAATTTGATATTTTATTTATAGACTTAAGTTTTGAACGTATATTTAAACATTGTTGCCAGGTTAGGGGATTTACTCCCAAATTTGGGGGGGATAGAAAGTAGAGAATGGCTTTAAAAGACTTACACACATCAAAAGTGTCTAGGGATCAAGCATTTTTATGCGGATTTCTTGAGATTGAGATGTGGCTTTGTAATAAATTTATGATTTTATAAATTTATATGGATCCTTTTTGGTGCATTTCATAATTTGAATCAGGAACTGTGAATCAAATTCGAGTAAAAGATGAAAATCAGCTGTCAATATTTTCCCTATAAAAACATACAACGCATTGAAGACATTATTAGTGCTACTGTTTCCCTACTACTGATTAAAACCAACGTTATTATGGAGCGGCGACGTCATTTAAGCAGGGAAGAAATGCTCAGAGCCGTGGGAATGATAGAAGCTGGTTCCCGGCAACGTACTGTGGCTTTAGCTCTGAATACAAGTCAGAGTGTTATCAGTCGACTTTGGACACGATACCGAAGCACTGGTACCGTGGCTGAGCGCCATGGAGGACGGTATCGCTGCACCACACGGAGACAAGACCGATACATTCAAATCTTAACTCGAAGAGCTCCAACAATAACCGCCATGATGTTAGCCGTGAGGCTTCATCACTCTTCAGGGAACTTAATTAGCGACCAAACAGTCAGAAACCGCTTGCATGAAGTGAACCTTCATTCCCGAAGACCGCTACGGGTACCACCTATAGCAATGCACAATCGTAGGATTCGATATCAATGGGCTCTTGAACACAGAAATTGGGCAGAAGAACAATGGCGTTTCGTGTGCTTTTCTGATGAGTCTCGTTTTGGTATGAGACCGGATACAAGACGTATACGACACTGGAGAACCCCTGGACGCCAACAGCGATTAAAATCCTGCCAGGAAGTCCATCCTTATAGTGGTGGAACCATCATGGTATGGGCGGGTATTTGGATCGGCGGAAGAACTGAGTTGATTTGGATCAGAGGCAACCTCAACGCTCAAATTTATGCTGAGACGATTGTATCAGACGTCATCGTTCCTCTACAAGTGCAAATCGGTCCCTTATTTCAGTTAATGCATGATAATGCACGACCGCACACCGCAAGAGTTGTAAGACAGACTCTCGCCGCAGCTAACATCAATGTCCTGCCCTGGCCTGCTCAGTCGCCAGACTTGAACCCGATTGAGCATGCATGGGATATGCTACAGAGAAGAGCTCTGCCGAATATGGAGGGTATCCAGTCGCAAGAAGACCTTTTTTTGTTGTTGCAACGAACATGGGCGGCCATTCCACAGCGTGATTTGGATGAACTCATTTTGAGTATGCCAAACCGATGTTCTTGTGTTGTTAGTGTTCGCGGTAGAAATACGGATTATTAATTGTTTAAGTTACCCAATAAAATTTTAGAGAAAACTGTTATTTCAGTCTTTTTTTCGAACTTTTGTGTTAGTGGTTCAAATTTCAAAAATCCCTTTATTAGGAAAATGGCAAATTTCTTTATTAATGCAAAGGTGACTTGGTTTATCGTTACTGTGACAAACGAAAACACTTTATTTGATGAATCCTTAAAGAAAATTTTAATTAATATCAATCAGGAGAAAAGTTATTGCAAAAATATATGTTGATCCCTAGACACTTTTGATGTGTGTATTTTGGGGGTATTTTTATATATACGTAACGTAATACGGGATAATTTTGTAGCCATTTAATTCTTTAATTTGAGGAGGTTTTAAGTTATAGACGTTAATATTTTAAGAGTTGGTAACACTGTGCGTTAGTGTGTTTATGTTAATTTTACATAATAAATCGACTAGGTTTCGCAACCTTTTAAGTCACGTTTTAGAGTATTATGAAATATGGTAGTGAATATGTTTGAAAGCACTGAAAACTTATTAAAAGATGTCCTCAACTTTGAGAATGAACATACTCATCAAAAGAGTTTAAGGGGCCATCCATAAATTAACACACACACATTAAGGAGGAGGTAGGGAGTCAACAAAATGTGACATCGTGTGACAAGGGGGTGGGAGGGGTCCTAAATTTCGTGACGTCACATTTCAAACTTTATGATAATCTAAGCGTTGAAACACGAACTTTAAACTATTACTTTATGAAAACATTAACAACCCAAACGAGAACAAAGTGGCTGCTATACCAGTTATAATTCGTATTCGTTTTTTGTTTTGTTAATTGTTTGATTTGATGTTAATATTATTAGAAAAAACGAGTATGCTTATTACCACACGACTAAAGTGAAAATTCTTTAGCTCCACCTGTATACATATTTCATTTACTAGCTATAAGAGAAAGTGAAAAAAATGAAAAACGCGCGCACTGCTTTCTCTTGTTTATATCCCCACTCAACTCCCGTTTGCCTCGCCCGAACACACTTTTCGTAACGCGTATCGCATTCGCCAAAGTACCCCCCAAGTCAAGCGTGCTTAAAGAAGTTTCACTGCAAAAATAATTTAAATGGAAATATAACTGATTTCGGAGCCGCTGAAAAAACTGAATGAAAACACATTCAGTTTTTTCTAAATGAAAAATTGAAAAATATGTGACGTCACACTAGGGAGGGGGGGAGCCTCACAAATGTGACCAGCTATGACAAGGACGGGGGGAGGGGCAAAAAGACATGAAAATCATGTGACGTAATTTATGGATGACCCCTAAGCAACATGAACTTTTTTTAACTTTTGTTCGATTTTTAATATCTTTCACAATTAATTATATTATATTATTTCATAACGATAATATAAAATATAAACTGATAAAATGCATAGCCTGCAAGAAGTCTAAATTTCTTTAATGTGTTTAATTATCATAATACAATGAAAATTATGAAAACAAAGTCATTAATATTGTTTCATGTCGTTAGCCAAATATATTAAGTCCATGCATGACGAGATGTAAGTACTGTACATTATAAAACACTAATACAAAATAAAAGTACTAAATACTAACTAAACTATCCAATTTACCTAAAATATCAACATTCACTTGTATATTTTGAATGACTAGCCAACCATAACCATGGAAACCTTTACACTGTAAATATCAAAGTGCCATTTCAAAGAACACCAAGCATAATTTATAAGAAAACATAATAATTAGTAAGGAAGGTTTATATTTATCTATAAATATTACCACTTAAGGTACTTCAGTCTTGATGTATGCAGTCAGATTAGTATCAATGTGTTTTTCTGATAAATATCATCTCGTAAGTATCCTTCAAATGCCAGATTCAAACAAAACTACTAATAACACTTCCAAGCACGTAAAATCTCCTTAAATCCAATAATAATAAATAATTGGAACTATTTAAATGATCATAAAAAAAATTGACCACGTAAAAATATAATTGGTAGTCTAAAGTTAGGTAAAGTTGCCAATTATATTTTATTAAGAATCAATTTTTATTCTGATAATTTAAATATGTGCCATGATTAATCACCATATTTCATGAAGATTAATGATACTTAACGCTTTGTTTATTCATTACGCAGGAATATAACAGCAAAACAGTAAATAGCTGACGAAGAGAAGAAAGCATGCTTGATATTGACCATAGACAGAGAATAGATCTAAGAACAAGAAGCTTAAAAAGAGTTTAAATTCAACTCTAAAAGTTGACTTATATAGTTATTTCATTTTTACAGATAAACCAAAATAGGGGCACATATTCCTATGAACAGCCTTATAGATCATTATGGATATCTTGGTTACCTATACGACATCGAATCAAAAAGCAATCTAATGTCAAATGAAACCTGCCAACACGCCACTAATACTTTTTGGTTGGTTAATATTTTCGTTAAATTATTGTTTATGGGAGTGTGCGCTCAAACGTCATAACATTACTTCTACTCTTTCCGTTCATGTCCTGAGGAATGAACTGAGCGACATTCGTTTGAAATTGAAAATTCTCTAGAAAGATTAAAAAAACACAAAATACCCATACGAACTATGGACCAAGGACCGCCTGATTGCTTTGTCTCTTTGTCTTAACTGACTTTTATTTTACTTGACAGTTGGACAAGAAATACTCAGTCTATTCTCTGTATTTATTCTCTTTGTCTATGGTGTTGCCATAACGCTTGTTAATATTAACTACCTATCCCACTGCGGGCGAAAAAGCGATGTGCTGGCAACTATTTTCTCGCTCAAGAAGTATATATGGCAGATTTTTTTCTTAAGATGATCACTGTATTTATTCTCTTTGTCTATGGTGTTGCCATAACGCTTGTTAATA